AGCCAATTTCACCAACAGCCCTGGTTATCTTTGAAAGCTCAGAGTAATGATCTGCCCATGGAAACATCCATGTATAACGTTCACGTCAAGTTTCACAGAATTCAAACCTCGGAAAGGCGTCAAATTGCATTTGCAATGTTCTGACTATATTGCTAGCATTTGAATCTAGAGAATTACAAAGTAGCCCCGAATCGAAGTAAGTATAAGTGATTATGCTACTAGAATCATTTGAGGTGCCAATGTTCTTCTTAGAGTAATGCTGTGATACTTGGTGTCGAAGTAAGCCATCACCAAACTAAATGCAAAAAGTTTTTAAAATCAACGCGATCGCTTTCAATTCAGTAGCAAGCGCTATTGTATTTAGACTTCATTCAGCCACCTGCAAAAAATCGACCATCTCGTTGGAAAACATTTACAGCAACACAAGTCGATCCAACAGCGGCGCTTTCGAAATTTGACGAACGTTGGTAGCGAGATCAAACTATTGTTTCGGAAGCAAATGCTTACAACAAACATAATCGGATAAATAGAGAATACAGCGTTTTGTAAGCTGTCGTCAATTTGCGGACGAAACGTTGTTGGGAAACTGCGAAGTTGCGGGAATTGGGCGCCGTGAACATGACCATGGACATACAACTTAAAGACGATATCGTAAAAATAATCACTTAGTTACTAGTCGCTCAAGTTGCGAACGGTGCTGCGGAGATAGTGTGTCTAAGGCTTCACCCTGATTGTGCACTGACGCATGAGTGTTTGACATTTAGCTCAATAGATGCCGGAACATGAAATCGTTGCTCGAGTCGTTACATATTTTAAATGTAGCTATTTCTTCTAACAACAACTAATCTTCTCGAGCCAAAAACATGGTAGTGCACTGCAGCTCGTCATCATCTTCCCGCTTCATTGTCGTTGAGAAGCATCAGGCGTGACACCTCAGGAAACGACATACATCAGGTGGCAGTATCTAAAGTTGGTGTCACCTTTGATAATGTTCGGACGTATACTTATTCAGCAGCATTTGAGCACTAGAAGATGATTGCAAGGTGAACACATTCGAGGTAATATCATCACTCGGCCAATTTTTTCGCAAGACGTTTCAAAATACGTGTCAATCATTACCAGTATCATTTCCGATACTACTCTGAAGCTAAGATAAAGCTAGTTATACGCCAAGTGCTATACGAGTATCTTCATTTTTGATATGTTCATCTTAAAGTCAGTTTCATCTTGGAACCTGCATTTTAATACGCACTCGTGTGTTCACTAAACAGATCAACAATTATTCTTTGATTGTAAGCGTATAAACTCTTCTGCTTGGTCATAATCTTAGTCATTCCAGACACGGCCGAAGATCTCAGATGTCAAATAAGGAATATATTAGCATAGTAGGGCTCAAGAGAACCTCGCTATACCACACTCACGTATTAGGAGCGAGTGTGTCGACGCCCTGAGCATGGAGTCAACAGAGAGTCGCTGTGCGCACCAATAAGTTTTTAGAAAAATGATATAAGTTTATCGTAATATTTGCTATACCAATAACGTACTCTTGTATGAAAAGGCGGTTCACACAAGATGGTGTGATCGTACATAGTTGTGGATTGCACAAGTTGGTGTAATCACACAATGGTTTGGCTACACCGTAACAAAAAGCAAAGGATTGCCAGTAGTAATGCCTATTAGTTAGATTTTACTATAGTAATTAGGTATTACTATATTATTTCGGAGAACCTAAGGTTTTAGATATTGGCGCACCTGCCACGATTAAATACGATTTCAATTTTGACTGGAAGACTTTCTTTACCTTGGTTAAGGTTTTAAGTACCTGGGGGCAGCGGATGATAATCCGCCGCACTCGTACCGGTTCTTGTAAAGAACGTCAGGTCGGTGATCTTAGCTTAGCTCCCCTAAGCAAAGAGCCACGGCAGCCCCTATACAAATGCCTTGCTTTGAAGTGCTTAGATCAACTATTTCCTTACGAAGCCTTATTGCACCCATCCATACCGAGTGCTTATCCCCCCCCGCCGATTTGATCTTATTACCATGCAGCGCGGCCGTAGTGATAGCTTTACGAACCATCAGTGCATCAATATTTTGCGCATACTTCTGCGCATACTAGCGCCTTTAACAAAAAACCCTAACGACTGATGTTGTATCAGGGTTACACGTACCCTGGTAACAGGGGTGTGTGTCACACGAGATGGGCATAGTGTGACTGCACCCAAATAAGAATACGGTACGTGGCTGGGTAGCCGGTAGTTATGCACGTATTAAGATTTTAAAAAATATATTTAGAAAAGTCTGTACATTTAAAATTAGGCGGCTTTGCCGCAAATAAAAATAAATAAAGTCAATTTATAGTTTAAAACTAAGAGTAATTTAGCTTTGGGTTTAGGCAATAATTAATCTTGGAGTAAGCGGATTCCGATCCGCTAAACTCGTGCTTGTTCAAGTATAGATTGAAAGGTCGGTGATCTAACTTACGCTTCCTCTAAGCGCAAAGCCACGGTAGCCCCGCTGCACTTGGTAGCACTTGTAGTCAATCTACACCCGAGTCGTTTAGACTGATCCTCAGCGCGGATGGAGTAATTTTCCTCTTTGCACCAGGGCATGCAGGACGGACTTAACAAGCTGATGTCCTTGCTGGACCCTGAGGGCGTGCAACACCTTGTGGCGCAAGGCCCCAAGGCAATCGGTGCGCGTCTAGAGGCGTTTTCAAATTACGAACACGCGCTGCTAGAGCAACTGCAGCAGAAGATGTCTGCATCATTTGCGCCTATGACGCCACCGTCAGTGATGGATGATTCTCCCCGCCCTAAGCCGCTCATGGTGAGCGTTAAGGTCTTCGAGATGAAGGATGGAGAGAATCTCCTACTCTGAGTGCGAGAGCCATCGCATCCGCCATGCTACAGACCAAGCAACAGCGCGTGGAGCTAGCCATCTCAAAGCTCGGTGGTCGAGCGCGAGAATGGGCATTGACGTGCGGCACTTCGATCGAAGCTGCGTTTTCCTCCGGGGCGGAGCTATAATTGCAGCTCTCACGAGTGTTCTCGCCGCCTAATCAGGCATATCGCGTGCGATTGCGTTTCCATGCCGTCCGACAGGGCAACAAGGAATCGGTAGATTTTATTCGAGAGATGCGCACTCTCATTGCCGGGATGGCAGCAGATCCCCTTTTGGAGGCGGTGACAGTG